ACAACAACAACAACAACAACAACAACAACAACAACAACAACAACAACAACAACAACATTTTTTGCATTGCACTCACTGCCAGAATCAGCATGTGGACCTCTGATCACTTTGGATCCTCGGCACGTCGGCTACTCTGTATCCGCCTTGGGAGCTCCAGCAGTCGTTGCTAGTTCGTACTTCACGCCCCTCAGGGCTGCTGAAAGGATTGTTGTGCACAGCTATGTTCGAGTATGTGGAATGCATCCGCCCCTCAGGGCTGCGATAGCGCTGTGCTGGCTGGGCACCCTACGACCGCTTCCTACTGGCTCACCTGCACCCGCGACTGCTGCAGTGCCGGCTGGCCCCGATGTTATGTTGCAGGCTATAGCTGTGCGCTAGCTGAGTTTGGTGTGATTAAGGCGGGCAAGTGTGATATAGAAGGTCTCACCCGCCTTTTTTATTTCACAGTCCTGCCTTTTGGACTTCGAGAGGATCGCTTCCTCCAGATTGCCAGGTCTCACTACCTGCTATACTGAATCTGCTTTGGCAGAGTACTTAAGGATATTCAGGAGGAAACCTCCTAATCTGATGCAATGAATCAATGAAGAAATTGAAGTTGGCACGGAGGCAGCCTCCGATAAAGTACTCAGCACTGCAAAAGAGTGAAAAATAAGCGCGGCTACCCCGACACCCTACTGTGAGTCACTGCGTCCAGCACCCACGCACCAGCTGTTTAGCGAGCCGTACCTCTGGTGAGGCCGACACTCAGGGTTCCTGTCTAGTGACGTCTCACACAGGTAACGCTAAACAACTGGCAGAGGGCCGTAGGCAGAGCGCACCAAGGCGGCCTTGCACGTTCCAAGAAGGATGCCCAAGTTGGAGGCAGGGTAGCTAAGTTTGCGAAGCCTGACCTGGGACGCCTTGCGCGGCTCCTGGGGCCAGCGCTGCGACAGGGCAAAATTGCATTCCTGGTCGAGAAAATGTGACCCCAACTGACCGAACTTGACGAGGAGGTCTCGCATAGGCACGAGTACTCTGCGAAGAGGGAAGCACCTGACCTGGGACACCTTGCACGGCTCTCGGGGCCAGCGCTGCGACAAGGCAAGGTTGCATCCGAAAAAGTGACCCTAATCTGAACCCACCGACCTGGAGGAGACCTCACATGTTCTGAAGTGCGCGCAGGGCTCTTTCAGATGCTTCAGGTTCAGGGACAAGAATGGGTCAGCTTGGCCTTAAGCTACAGCAGGCAGAACGGTCTACTGTGAGAAACACTGCCGGGGAGGAAGCCTCCGGAGGAAACCTCCGCATGTGAAAGTTTCACGCAAGAGACTATACATCTTAGCACGAGATCATGGCTTTATTGCGCGCAGGGCAGCGTTCATGCCGAGTTGCCTTAGGCAACAGCAGGCAGATAGGTCTACTTTAAGAAGAAAGAACACTGCTGCGGAGGAAGCCTCCGGAGGAAACCTCCGCATGCGAAGGTAGAGCGAGCTAGACCCTTACGTAGAAAGCCAAATACGATCCCTGGCAAATTTGATCCGAGAGGAGCGTAGTTCGCCGTGGTGAGCGGTCATCATCCGCGAGATACGCCACTTCTTCTCTCAAAAAACCTGTCCTATAATGCCCAGATCTCCAATCATCTCCTAGATGAATGATGAATGCGTATAGTCGAAAGCTGACCACAGCGGTTGTCGTGCCATTATCTATAAACTCTGGAAGCTCCAGAGTTGTGTCTAAAACTTGAGGCCGATTTGCTTTCTCCAAGTGCTCAAACCTTTGGATCTGAATGCAAACCAGGTTCACTCCCGGGAGTAGCCCATAGGTGCTCCCCCTGTGCGCCCACTGAGAAATGGCTTGCTGTAGTGTGGAGAGGCCATCTGGTGGGTCAGGCAAGAAAAGAATCAAACCCCCTCTATCCTCTACGCTGATTCTTTCCACGGGTGCTGTGATTTGAACCCTCGCTTCCCAAACATCTGCTGAAAGCACATTGGATCTCTGAATGATATGTGCTAGAAACTGGGATGCATCTTCTTGCCTGGGTCTGAATCGCCATCCCGTCAGCAGAGGACGTAGCTGTCGCAGCCTACGAACATCCACACTAGAAGAACGACCCCCTACTGCGTCAATTTCCGTCAATATTTGTCTCAGATATGGATCAAAAAGAATACCCTCTGATGCAAGCGAGGCAAGGATATGCACTACTGTGTGTGCATAGCACAGTTGATGCGGATTATGATAGGCCAGAGACCAGGCTGTGACGGGCACTGACGAAGGTCTCCCCTCTGCTGGTGCGTCTCGCTGGGAGCTTGCTGGTGCCTGGTGAGACCGAATCCTACTGGTGGAGGAAGCCTCCTGGGAGGAAGCCTCCCTTCCTCTCACCTGGCTAATTGGAGGATCTGCACTAAAGAGATCTGGCAGTTCCCTAGGCTTGGCACAAGCTGCACTCATGGCGTATGTCTGAAGCAGAACCACACATTGCTCTGCATGGCGTACTGGAGCATCTACCACAATGCGACAATACCTACATTCTTCTTTTTTGTGCAGGAGGCGCTTATGTGTTCGCATGTTGGCAAGAATGGATGCCGAGGATTGTGCCCAGAAAGCGTGATGAGCTTTCTGAATGTGCTGTTTCACTCCTTTGTGGCCAACAATGTATTGCCCACAGAGACTGCAGTTCGTTAATAGATGCTGAGTGACATGTCTCTTTTTTAGTAGAAGATCAGGATCCTTCTTAAGTTGTTCCTGCACGCTAGACTGATAGATCATAGCTATGCTTTCTGAGCTTGTACAGGATTTGGCTCGTTCTTTCAGCTCGTGCAGCTGAGGGCAAATGCCTGACTCCACATGTCTGCGAAGTTGATGCATTGTGCGCAACTGCCTGTTGCATGCCGCACATTGCGGAAGTCCTTTGCAGCATGCACAGTGACCTGAAATTTTGGGCCTAGCTGATTCGCACGCTGTCCTCCATGCTTCACCAGAGTATGTTGCTGAAGACCCTTAGCGCTGGAAAATTTCCGATCGCACAGAGAGCACGGTACCTCCTGGTCTGCCTCGGTCAGGTCCAAATGCATGCTCTGAAGCTCCTGTTGCAACGCAACAATCCTACCTCTAAGTCCCAGATACCACTGTATGTTCTGATCCGGGTTGTACTTCTGACAGGCATCTAGTGCGTCTTGATAGTTTTTCATCTGGCTGATCAAAACTGCTTGAGGAGTCTGAACCTTATATTGCTCGAACAGAGTCTTCGTGTCAATATGGCTGTAGTGCTGATGTTGCTTAAAGATGGATCTTAGCATCCTCGAGTATTTACTCTGAAGCTTCTGAAGACCTGATGAGGTGATGCCAGTGGCCACAAGCCCATGCAAGAGTGAGGATTCCACATAGACCCTCCAGATCTCCAACTTCTTTGAAGCCTCCAAGGCCTTAGTGGAGCACAGGATGTGTCGAAGTAGCTCAAACTTGCCTTGAGCTTGGGCGATCCTATAGTCAACAGTCTGGTCTTTGTAGGATCCATAGCTGAGCTGCACCCCTAGATATGTTAGTTTGTGATGAATCGGAATCTTATGTCCTGAGGGAAGGACGATGTGCAACTGCTTCTCTTTGCGTATCGTGTGCTTCTTGCGAAAGATGGACTGCTGAGTGCCCTGAACCATTAGCAAGGCTTTGGACTTCGTTGGATTGACTTCCAGCCCCACGTCCTCAAGAGACTGAAAGAGAGCCTCTATTCTAAGCAGGACTTTCTGAAGTTCAGGAAAGCTCGAGAAGGTTTCCTGGAGCAGGAAATCGTCTGCAAAGACCGTTAGAATGTCCCTAGCTTGCTTGCTATCTGGGCCCCATTTCTGCTCCATTCTGCTCATGACTAGAAGTGTCAGCGCAGACCACAATGCCGGGGCTAGCTTGCAACCTTGTTTGATTCCTGAAGAAGTGGGAACTTGAATCTCTAGTCCACTTGTGCCCATGTTGTAGGAGGTCTCACTGTGTAGTTGAACTACCAGTTCTTTCGTAACAGGGTCTGTTCCCAGGTGATCCAAGGCAGCTAGCAGCTCATGTCTATTAACAGAATCAAAAGCTTTGCTCAGATCAACCGAAACAGGAAGTGCCCCTGACAGCTGAGCCTGCCTGGCTCCGCGTTGGGACTTGTGCAGGTCCCTGCGATGCTCTTGACGGAGCTGCTGCGCGAAATCAAGGTGCTGACATGCTTTCGCGATAGCGTCCCGCACCCCCCTCTGCCGGATATACGCAAATTGAGGCTGAAGCTGTGAGCTCACCTGCAGTGCTGGTGCAATGCGAGTCTTCACTGCGCCTGCTAGCACTTTGCCTGGCACGCTGATGACTCCTATGGGCCTCAGGTTTTGCATGGCGGTGGCTGGCTTGCCCGGCTTGGGGATCCATGCAATTCGAGGGTCCTTTAGATAAGGGAAATTTCTGATTGGGACACCTCAGAGTTGATTAGACCTGCTATGTGTTCGTGGGCTTCAGGACCTAGACTCTTCCAAGCTGATACTGGGGCTGAGGTGCTGGGGACTGCTTTCCCCACTGGCACTGTCTTGATTTGTGAGGAAACCTGCAAGGCGGTGATCGCTGCTCTGGGCACAGCAGCTACTGAGTGCAAAGGAGAACTTTTGGAGAAGATTTGACTCGAGTATTCGCGCATAGTTTTTAGTGAGGCCTCCGTATCAAGCGGCTCACCTGCTTGATCCCTTAGGTTGACTCTCTGCACTGGGCGCCACGGAGCAAGTTTCCTGAGAGTATGAGCCAGTTTGCGGGATTGTTGCCTTTTATCTTCCTGGGCTTGTAGAAGCAACTGCTCTTGCTTCTCTAGCTTTCTTTGTTTTTGCTGTTTTTTGAAAGTCCGCGCCTCCTCCTTGATGTCCTCCACAAGCTTCTGGCATTCTAAATTATGCTCGGTTCCAGCCCTCTTGTGCGCCTGGATTTGCCGCACTTTCTTCCAATATTCCTGATGAATTGGACCTGCTACTGGCTGAGACTTGCGTGGAGGAGGATAGTGCTCAGCTGATACA